TGTGTGTGTGTGTATGTGTGTGTGTGTGTGTGTGTGTGTGTGTGTGTGTGTGTGTGTGTGTGTGTGTGTGTGTGTGTGTGTGTGTGTGCATCTAGAATAAAAATAATCAACTAAAAATGAGATAAAAGAAATTTTAAACTTAATATAACAATAATTCAGAAAACGAAAGTTTTTTCAATATTATGTATATTATAAAATAATATTCTAACACACAATTCCTCCAAATTGGAGCTTTCCGAATATAAACTGTCATAGGTACATAAACGAAAACATGTAAATGGCCCTGACAGAGAGAACAGAAAAAGAAAGAAGTGAGATAGAAGTTTAGATGGAGTTACTGGGGAACTTACTGATTTCGCGCATGCGCACTCCATTTTTGCCAACATAAAATCAGGAGAGTTGCGCTACTGTATATACTGTGCCTATGCCACACACTTATTCAAATCGAGTTCGAATGCAGTTATATTGCTAACCGTCACTGCTATAAGAATTTTATATAAGGAGCGGAGCGAAGCATCGTTTTGTTTTCTTTGTTTTGTATATATTGTGTTTGTGATTACGAGAATTTTATTTTTCTCTTTTATGAAAAAACGTTCTTTTGTAGAGCGAAAAGGTATGTAAATGTTACGTGAACATTAAGTAATTGTGTGGTAAATAATAATTAGCGTCGATCGAGGCACTGCCGTGTCTTTTAAAACTTATATAGGATTATTTGTTGCAAGACATTGACATTGCGAACGACGCGGTTTCTTTTATTATCGTACATACGTTACTATTAATTGTTGCTTTGTTTTTTCTCGTTTAAGTAAGATATACATATCACATCTGATGATGAATATTGAGTTGGATTTTGTAAATACAACTTTAAATGTCTTTTACTTATTTTCATGAAGCATCTATTGATTTTTTTGAACGTATGTTCTATCTAAATGAGCGCAAAATATAAATATATTTAATGGTTATTTCAGAAAATTTTCTTTTTCTTTAGTGTGCATGGTTTACTTAATATATTTTCTTTCCTTTATATTAAGTATATACTTAATATAATATACTAATATAAGTATATACTAAATTTACTTTTAATTAATTTTCTTTTGTTTAATACTTTTAAACTCTGAAACTTTTTATTTCTATCTACAGCGTTTGGCAGATGGAATCTCGTTTACCGAAACCAAAAATAATGATAAAGGCGAGTAGTGTAATGGATATAAGTGTTAAGAATAATAATCATAAAATAACAAAAAATAATAATATATCAACTTCAACATCAATGGTAACGTCAACAATAACGTCGACATTAACATCAACATTAACCTCAACGTCAGTAGGTTCGGCTAGCATGAAATCTATGACTGAAAACAAATTACCAGTTAAACAGGCCTTAGTTCGAGCAAAGACGTTATCTACAATCACACGATCAGATAATGTGCAGAGAGCAGTAAAACGAACAGCTACTAATGTACCACATGGAGAAGCAAAGAAACCTTTCGTTAAACCTGTTACTAAAGCACTATTGGACAAGCCAATTAATAATGCATTAATGACTAATAATACAGTGAAGAAGGTAAATAAAATTATCCAAAATGACATAGATAATAAGACAGGCAAGATAAAAAAATGGGATCTACGAGGTCGTTTGGCACAAACAAATGATAAGTTATCAATTGTACAACAAAAAAATAAAGACACGGAGTCAAGATGCAATATGCTCCAAGAATTGGTAGATACTTTAAAAACCAGTGAAACTGCATGTAAAGCTAAAGCAGAAAAACTTGAAGTTTTAAATAACACTTTGACTAACGAACTTCAGACTCTAACAGTAGAAATATTTGCAATTAGAAAAAATGAGGAAGATTTAGTAAAACAATTGAAAGAATCAAAAGAATTGTGCACAAGTCTTTCTTGTACATTGAATGAATTTCAAGAAAAATGTAAGAGTCAAGAGGTATTGAACTTGGAACAAACTAAACAATTAACAGTTTTGAAATCAGATTTAGAATTGCAGAAAAAGTTAAATAAAGATTTGAATATTGTCAAGGAAGAATTACAAGCGTTAACTCATAAAATGGATAAAGAACGTAGAGTATTGCACAATACTATACAAGAATTAAAAGGCAATATTAGAGTGTTCTGTAGAGTTCGCCCCAGAACTCTTAAGGAAATTGAACAAACGAAACCGTAAGTAAAATGTGTTTTGTGCTTTAGTAGCACAATTATTAGCTTAATATATTCTCAATGTTTAACCAATGTTTTGGCAATAAACATTGCTACTAGGGATAATTTATTATTAGGAAAAAATTGAAGTGCTATTAAGATACATATATGTATATACAGGGTTGGATAGTGCTAAGTTAAAAAGATAAAAGTTAATTAATTTTAACTTAACTTAGTTACATTTTAGACTTTTAACTTTTTAACTTAATTTAGTTACATTTTATCGATAACTATTAATCCTCATACAATGCGAGAGGATAATGAGTATATAATTTAGTAATTTTATATTGTATAATCGTTACTTGTGAACAAAAATAACTAGATTCTTTAATAAATATGCTGTGAGAAAGAAGAAAGTACGAAAAATTATGTAAAATGGAATAAAAATTGTTTTTATATAAAAAATGGTTTTTTAACAAGATCGAATTTGAAAATAAAGAAATTAATACGTTTTCTTTATTTTAAACATGTTTCTAATAACACTTTAGTTTCACATTTTAATGAATTTGTTTTAGGAATTGCTTTGAATAAAATTTGGTTTTATTCAAGGAATTAGTGGAAGAGATAATTTTGATATTTTATTTGATTTGTGTTTGAGTAAAATTAATGTTTGTTACAGGCTGTGTAATATAAACTTTATAGACGATTGCACTATTGAAGTAAGCAAATCAGATGGATCAGATGCAATCGGAAGCTGCAGTCGGAAGTTGCGAGGAATAAAACAAGAATTTTCATTTGATAAAGTATTTACTCCCAACGCATCGCAGGCAGATGTATTTGAAGAGTTATCCCTTTTAGTACAATCAGCTCTGGAAGGATATAATGTTTGCGTATTTGCTTATGGCCAAACTGGTTCTGGCAAGACATATACAATGGAAGGGGAATGTGGATTACAAACCGAAGGCATGATACCTAGAACAGTATGTTCTTGTATATTTGCAATATAATTATAAATATGAAATTGATAAGCTCTAGTTTACGTTAGGGGTTCGGATATTTTTTAGATTCAATAATTTCGTGTATTCGCAACTTGACGGTTTACGTAAAGAAACACCGTTTCGAAAGTTATATAACACACATTTACAGTGCAAACGCATGTATGCATGCACGTACCCGCGTACACGCCCGCGCTGTTCTATTTAACGTGACCATTCTTATATCTTTGCAGGATATGGTCGAATCAAAAATATTCAGATAAAAGTTGAATGATTTGATACAAATAATAGTAAAATCAATTTTCGAAAAAAAAAAAAAAAATTGATTTTTCAAGGTCATAACCATTTTTTTAATGGAATTGTGTGATTTTTTTTTTAGATAATGTGATTTCTCTGATTATTCCGCACATAAAAGCGTATTAATTGAAGATATTGAAAAATCAATAGTTTCTGAGATATTTCATGTTTTAGAGCCGGGTTCACCAATGCCAATTATTTAATCGACGTTTAACTGACCAATCTCATTGACTGGTCAATTCTACTAAACAGCAAGTGCGATTGGTCAAATAAACGCCGATTAAATAATTGGCGTTGGTGAAATCGGCCCTTTATCTGGCACATGAAATGTAAAATATCTCGTAAATTATTCATCTTTGGTAACTGTACTTTGACTTTTATGCACAGAAAAATGAGATCAACAATTATAAACAAAAGATGTGCGAATCAAGGTTTTTTGATTTCGAATTTTTTTTTGTCGAATACAAATTGAATCAATTCGAATCTGAATCGAATCTGAGAATTGATTGCGTGTATAGTGAAATTACATACACGCGCGCACACGCATGTGTGCGCGTGCGCTTGTAGTGTGCGTTGTGCATGTGCAATTACATTACTTTTTTATATAAGTATTTAAGTAATAATTAAATTACACTTTTATACAAGTACAACTAATTTAATGTTTTTAAAGAATCAAAGTTATTTTTATGTAATTTTCCAGGTACGTCATATATTTAAAGAAATGAAACAGTTTGAACTTCTTGGTTGGGAGTATCATATAGAAGCAAGTTTTCTGGAAATTTATAATGAACATATTGTTGATCTTCTTGATTCTCAATCAAAAACACACGAAATACGAATGGTTGACAATAAAAGTCAAGATTTATATGTTAGTAATCTTCGGGTAGAAGAAATACATAGTCCTGAAGAATTGCATAAATGTCTTCAAACTGCACAACGTAATCGAGCTGTTGCGGCTACTCAGTCAAATGAACGGTCAGTATATTTAGTTTAAATTGTAATAAAAAGTTTTTAAAGAAACAAAATTTTTATCTCTCTTTTTAGTTAAATATCGGAAACGTATCTATAATTAAATCATTATTGGGATATATAATTTAACATTGAATTTAATTTGGAATATATAATAATTTATATCCTAGTTAATTCAAATTGGTAACAAATAGGCTAATGAATCTCGTTGGATGTTAATAGTTAATTGTCTATTGTTTATATTAATATTATAAAGATAAAAAATATACAAAGATGTCAATGTGCATAATAAATAATTAATAATAATGTTAAACGTTTCGATCTATTAAATATCGGTCATTCTTAGTGTACATTCTCACAATCAAGACATATATATTTCAAATTTAAATCATTAATTTCTAAGACGTTTTATAATTATAGTTATTTGGACAGTTAGATTTAAATTTATGTACACTGGAAATGACCGATATTTAACAGATCGAAACGTTTAATATTATTATTATTATTATTTATACACATTGACATCTTTGTATTTATAATATTAATATTTTTGGTATTTATAATATTAATAAACAATAGACGATAAGTTATTAACATCCAGCAAGACTCGTTAGCCATTTGCTATCTGAATTGTTATTCATTAGAGCCACTTAAATTAAGTATTATTTTCAATTTTATATTCTAGATCATCTAGATCGCATTCTGTGACAAGAATACGATTAATTGGTACACATACCATAAAACAAGAGATATCGATAGGAAATTTAAATTTAGTCGATTTAGCTGGATCCGAACGTTTGAAGACTGAAGAAGCTGTTAGAACTACAGAAACAAAAAACATTAATAAATCTTTGGCAAATCTTGGTAATGTCATTTTAGCACTTTTAAAGAAACAAGAACATATTCCTTATAGAAATTCTAAATTGACTCATTTATTGATGCCTTCCTTGGGAGGCAATTCGAAAACTTTGATGTTACTAAATATATCTCCATTAGACGAATGTTATAACGAGACATTAAATTCGCTAAGATTTGCTAGTAATGTCAATAATTGTAAGATTGAAAAAGTTAAACGAAGCCGAATGATTTTATAGAACACGCTAACTAGAGTGTGTCCGGTTAAAGAATAGTACACATTACCTACATACTTTTATATATTATATATACATTTTTTATTACTACAAATAATTTAAAATAATTTAAGGAAAACATTCTCCTGTGATTGGTGGCAAAATCATGATAAAAGTTTGACATTAATAATGATATAATAAAGACGAGATTGATAACGAGTTTTTTGAAAATACATTATTAAAATAAATAATACATATTATTGAAGAAAAAGTTTATAAGTGTTAAATATACAATCTAATCATTTTATCAGTATACGATTAAACCGTTTATTATTTTACGAGTAAAATAGGTCTATTTTATATTGTGTCAAATTATGATGTGGCACATAGTATTATATATGTAAACAACCTTTCTTTTTTAAATTTTTCTTAGTTTATATTACTATCAGATTTGTATATTTAAACAGACACATATAATGTGGAAATAAAAGCTGACATTTTGAAAAAAAATATTGATAAGAGCCCTATACGGTCGAAGCTAGATTTTAAAATGCTTTAAATAATTCAATCTTGAATCACTAAATATGATATATATGTATTTGACATATATGTATATACCACAATTGTAGTCCAACGAACAAATTTCGCGAATTAAATTAAATTCTAATAATTTAAAAATTATTAGAATGTTATTAGTGGTTTAATTGTGTTTAGTCCGGAAATATTTCGGTGCACAGTTCGTTGGACTACAATTGTGGTATATATGTCAAGTACATTGGTATATATCATATTTAGTGATTCAAGATTGAATTATTTAAAGTATTTTAAGATCTAGCTTCGACCGTATAGGGCTCTTATCAATATTTTTTTTCAAAATGTCAGTTTTTATTTCCACCGTATAGGGCTCTTATTTATCGGTTGTGTCTCTCACATACGCGGTCTGAAAAATATTATTAAAAATATTGATATTTTGTACCTTTTTAGTAATATTTAATTTTCAAATGTGTATAATATATATGATTGAAGACATAATAAGGTAGATATTGAGATAATATCAAGATATTCTGTTTGAAATTCAAGACCTTTGAAAAATGTCTCGAGTAAATGTTTAGTATAATGCCCCCCATCCTCCGATTTTCCTGTAATTTTGTAAATTTGTGTATTTTCATGCGTAGAATATATTTCGAGAAGGGAAGTCGTCGCGCGCGCTTGCATTTCGTTTCCTTCTTTTAATATCAGTTTTTTCATATCGGGGTAAGTTAGAAAGTAATAATTTCGTGATAATTCTATATACGTTTATTCTTTGCATACTCTCTGCTCAAAACTCAAATTATTTTCTTATATAACTTAAATTATAGGAAATAAGATCGATTGTGTATCTTAAAATGAGGTGAGAATTATAAAAGTAAACAAATCCAGTAGAACATTCATAAATTTCATTGATCAATACCTAGTGAATTTGCTCACTTTTGTAATTTTTAACTTATTTCAAGAATATAATTGACTCAATCTTTAACAATAAATCACAAATCTTTTATTAAAATAAGAGTTGTAATAATTTAACTGATACTTAATAGAAGATTGAAAAAATTCAGATACGCGAATTCAAATAAATCCTTCTAAAAGGAAAAGATCAGGATCAGACAGTGTAGGAGAATAAATTTCATTCGTAGATAAATAATGCATCATCTAAGATTTTTTTTTAGATAATCTTAATAAATTTATTTTTAGTGCTTACAACGCGCAATACATAACTCGATTACAATCGTATGGTGAACTCTGAACTTGGATTAGCTGTAGTTCGCTATCGTCTCCTCAACTCGCAGGAAAGACTTAGAAATAATGCGATCCGGTAAAAAAAACCCGAATCGACGTAAGGTCGCTGAACCGGCGAACGTAATTCTATCTGCGCCAATATCTACCAATATTATAAATGTAATTAAACAATGGGCCTGAAGTTGCAGAGTATTTTATCGTGGAAATTGATAGCCACCGGTTGCATAACCCAGCCCAACGCCACGTTGTGTGTGCGTGGTAGCACGCGCTACTTCGTATTGTTGCTCCATATTATTGAACATTTCCTCCTGCTTTTTCAGAATGTCCGGTTTGGCTCCTACTGCCGGTGCGTTAGGTAGATCGCCCTTAATACCCATCAGTCGCTTAAACTTGGCCGTCACCTTCCCATCCTGATCGTGCGTGAAAGTCGTCCCCATCCACGTATTAGCAGTGGAAGCCGCGGTCGACGTACTGTTACCGTCATCCTGCTTCGACTGTAAAGAGATAAAAAGGCGATTGTGGAATGAGATTGCGTGTCGGATACACGTGTCTCTTAAGGATACTACTCAGTTGGATAATCATCACCTTGTTTGCCCAAAGCAGCTTCCTCTTTTGGATCTGCTCCGCGTACTTGCCCTGCGTCGCCGTCGCCAACGGATTGTAGTAGCTCTGTTCGCCTTGGACACCACCAAGCATCACAGTATCGCCGCCCTCCGGCGGCTTCAACTCTATGCCTAGTTTCTCCAACTGAGCCAGTTTGTTTCGTCCCTTTTCCTCCCGATAACTCATCGTTCTAAATGGTAGCGATGGTGCGCGGTCCCTCGATCGCGATCTCGATCGCGTGCGATCCCTCTCCTTGTGGTAGCTCGAACGCTCATCCCGATATCGATCCTTGGACCGGTCGTCCCTGGAGTGTCGTCGATCCCGTTCATTGCGGTCGCTGCGATCCCTGCGTCTATCTCTGTCGTTTCTGTCGCGATTACCTCCACGATCCCTCCGGTCATCCCTATAATGATGATCTTTGTCGCTCCTCTCTCTATCATCACTTTTTTCGTCTTTAGACGATCCGAGGGACGTTTTGCGCTTGTCGTCATCCCGATTCCTGCGATCTCTGCTTCGGTCCCTGTGATTATTATCACGCTGCCTTCGATCGTCATAACGGCGACTTTTGTCAGACGAATGACGACTCCGATCGCTACGGTCCCCTCGTCTATGATCGTCTTTCGAACTCGTATGATTCTCATGATCGCCTCGCCTGTAAAACGATTACGTTCTGCAGGGGTATACCACACAGATGCGTATTATTATTCTGGATACGTGACAGGTGTGTATAATTTCGATACAGTTTTAGTGAGATATATCAAAATTACTGTTTTCATAACAAATTGATATCCGTAAAATATCTCTAGCACCTGTACTATATGTGTGTATATATATATGTGTGTGTGTGTGTGTGTGTGTGTGTGTGTGTGTGTATAAAATTAACAAACCAGCCTACCTCTGGTCTGATGGAGAAGGCAAAGCCCGAGAAGATTCTGTTCGTGAGCCAAAGGTAGACTGAGCCGTTGTAGGACTGTTTGCGCGTTCGCTACTAGATTCCCTCGATGAATTGTTGTTATTGCTCTCCTAGAGAAAAGAAAAGAAAATTATCAATTTTAATATGGATCTCTCTTACATATTCCACTATGTAAGAAATAGCTCTTAATTCCTACCACAAAAACTATTTTAGAATGCGTAACTTCAATACACGCAAAGTTGAATTCTTTGACAGCGAATAATATGTATTAGAAAAACGTACACTTTATATAAAAAGAGAAAATACTCTTACACATAGTAAGTATAAAAAGTATAACACAAACTTGAAGAATTTCTCTCTATAAAAAGCGGAAATTCAATTTTTTTTCTTTTTGCATCAATTCTTGGTTGTATTTGGTACAAAAGATCAGCGACACTTTGCGTGTCACTCTAAATGACAATACAATTTGTATGCACTAATTACCGAAGTAATAGGTAAAATGAACCAATAAAACAACCATGTCACAAAAAGGAGAGAGAGAGAGAGAGAGAGAGAAAGAAATATGAGGGCCCTTCACATCAATCTGCCTCTGCAGTTAGTTATCACCCGAATATACTTGTACACGTGATTTCTTTGATGATTGATGTTTTGTTAGTGTTACCTTCTGCTAGCTTCCTCTACTCACCTCTGTCTTCGGAATAGGACTTGGGGGTAGTCTTGAAAGACCCTCACACAGCATAGACCTTGCCGAGATGCGTAGATATTGTATCATGTATTACCAACAGAGCTACGTGTTAATATTGTCTCACGAAATGGCACTATTCCCATTTACTTATCATTTAAATCATTTTAATTATGTGAATGATAGCCTGATTATCCTGCGTTCAATAAGGTTTCAAGGTCCTGTCTTATTTGTATTTCAACTAGGAGCGTTAAATATAGACTTGTTCAATAATAGCTTTGATAATACTGCAGCTTGTACTCAATCACAATCAAAACTATACCGACGATACCAAATAAGCCGAACATAATTGGAATCTTTGTCAATACACGAACATTGCTTCCTATCTTGCAAATTTGTTTCTTACAGCATTAACCAATTGATTTGCCGACATGACCTTGCAAAACCAGATACTATCCCCTCTATGTATCAGACCTAAGACTTTGCATGTACATACAGCACCCGTAAAGTCACTGTGGTATCTTCTTAGGCATTGTCCGAATGTTCGTACTTAACAACTAATTAAGAATTATCGGGGCGTGTGATTTTACTATACCTCACTCATGTCCATTTGTACTGGGTCGTAGTTGGCGTCGCTCGCTCTTCTGTTTGCCTCTTCTTGTCCCTGAGGTGGCGTCTAGAAAACAAGATTAATTATTTCGAATCCAAGTTACTTAAAGTCTACTGCTACATTCGCCGCAATTCTACCTTTATAGATTATGCGTGACGATTCGTAGAGGGTTGCAAAAGAGAGGAGCACAATCGCATTTCTAAACATCTCTAGATCGTAAACCGTGGTGTTGTGTGCAGTTGGTGTGGGTGTGTGTGGGTGTGTGGGTGTGTGTGTGTGTGTGTGTGTGTGTGTGCGCGCGCGTGTGTGTGTGTGGTGGACAATACGCACAAATACGCGCAGCAAAGCCATCTCTCGAGCAGTACGCATCGCTATGACGCTGTATCGAATTTTGACCGCGGCGATGTTGACAACAACGTCGATGACGGGCAAGAGGATCCTCGCGTTTGCTTACCTTCGTGTCCGAATTGTTGCTATTGTCACCGTCACTGGCGTAATTCGCCAACGAGTCCATAATGGCGCGTGAAACGCTCAACTGTCCCGCTGTGTTGGAGTAATCGGAGTCGGACGAATCGGACTAGGGCGATTGACGGCGACTGACGGCGACTACTGTCGCTATGGCCAGCTACGGCTGTTACTGGCCGCTACGGCCGAGCGTAAGCACCAAGCTTATGCACACTTATGTTGCCAAGTATCGCTGGCTAGCGACTGCTCACTGCTCGCGCCTCGCAATGCAACGTAACGCTGCGTAACCAACAGTAACCAAGCTAACCAAGTCACCAGCGTAATAACGCGCAGCGCCGAATGCGCCGATTCTTTCAACATGTCTCACACACGCTCGCCATTGGTCGGCCGAGCCGGGTCAAAATGCCGCTGCGATTGCTGCGAATTGTCCGAACACTCCGAACACGCTGCACCACGTCATTGATCGCCCCGCGCCCCTGGCCCGCAGAAGGTACTTGTACATGTTTCTTTCTGTATCTCATAAGTATCTCACACCTCACGTATGTACACGTATCATAAATTCTCCCGCTTCTTTTTTTTTTTTTTTTGTAGAATTGCTTATGCTCTCGAATAATTTGCGTGAGCTGGACACGAAGTTTGCGTTGTTTGAAAATCTCCGTTGTTACATTTATAGATTTAAATCTATTATACATATATGAATTTATACGTATGCATTATATGTATGATCTTTATCCCCATAGTAAAAAAAACGTCATAGTTATATCACAACAATCATAGTGATGTGCGAATGCTTTGTAACATGTGTTATTTTGTTATGATGAGTTATAACACTCTCAGTGACATCATATTTTCTTCCTGACTATTGTGACTCTATTGTGACGTGAATTTGACCCTTTGCTACGGGGGTATTGATTCCAAGGTGAATTACAAAGCTTTCCGCTTCCGCAATTACATTTACTTATCTCTAATTTAACTTAAGCCCAAGACATAATGCGAGGGAATAGCGATAGCGATAGGAATAACACGATTTCAACCTATCAGAAACTGTACATTCCGATATATCCGATTTCTGATAGGTTGAAATCATGTACGTTATACCTATCGCTATCGCTATTCCCTCGCATTGTGTCTTGGGCTTTACGATTAACTTGAATACGGAATTAACGTACATTTAATTCCGTATGTACTTATATCTTATATATAATTAAAGGACTAATAAATTATATGGAAAATTAGATCCTCTGTGGCGAAATGAATTACTTTTTACTTAGAACATAATTAACTTGATATAATTATGTTATAGACACAAGACTTAACAATGAATAGTTTTGGAGCTATAATGTATCAAAGGTGTAATAACTTATGTGCTCTTAGAGCACTTTTGATACATCATAATTTAAACATCATCCATTATCGCGTCTTGATGAATAAAAGGTGTCATGTCCATGACACCTTTTAAACTACGTCATTGTATCTCATATAGTAGAAAATCTTGCAGCAACATATTGCTCAACGTTTGCAATGTTACCGCAATATTGTTGGGATGTGAAAACTAATTTATTTCACCGGAATCTAATTTTCCATATGATTAGTGAAGTTTCTTCTTTTAATCTGGATTTAATCTCCATCAATGCAATTAACCCTTCACTAGATTTCGACTTATATTTATACATGTTCAGATGTATTTAAATTTACAAGACGTTTCGATGCGGGCGCGATCGTCCCCCCCCCCCCTCCCCCACGCCCTCCTCCCCAGAGAGAATGAAAGAATGAATATGTATTGTGTTTCGCGCATATACGAGAGAAAAAGCGCGCGAGTGAATTCGGGAATTCCCTCGGGAGAGCCAAAGTAATTTAAAGTGCGTTCTACTTGACGCTCGTAACGCTCATGGAATCATTTCATCCTTGTTGTTTGTCAAATAACGCTTATGAGTGTTGTAAGCGCCAAATAAAACACGTAAAACCCCTATAAACCAAAGGAGAAGTATCGCGCTCGTTGTCCCGCAAACTTGAAGATTCAGTTGATCTAGGCTTCACGACAGCTCGTACACACGTATCGGGTTTGTACATGTATATACTGTGTATAAGTACGAGCGTAATAAATAAGTACGAACGCTGAAGGGGTTAACGAGAGTTCCTCCTCCTTCTCTAGTTCTCTCGGCCTCGTCCACGCCACCGTGCTGACCGTGCACCGTGCACTGCGCCGTACCCGCGCGCGAAGAAAATCCGATTGACCATCAAGTAAAAATAACCTGCTTTTTCCGCGTTTTAACGTTGAGAGACTGCGAGATGTACGCTTCTTTCTCACTACACCTATCACCTAATTAACCTAATACAATCTCGATCGTTACGTCTTAATTATAATCGACGATCGATAACATATGGTATAGTAGAGGAGGAAGAGAAAGGAAGGAATAGCTTAATAAATATACAACTGATTAACATCCGAGACGGCGATGAAGATTAGTTAACGGCCTGAAGTGTACGATGTGCGATATATACCTACATATTATGTACATTATACACACACACACACACACACACACACACACACACACACATATATGTATATACTTGTATGTATATACTTTCTCACTTCCTTCCACCTTGTAAGGTACGATTAGCGATGAGTGGAATAAGTTGTTATACCTTCTCGTGTTTATCGTTTTCTATTCCTTTCTCGCAGGCAATATTTATTCCTCCGTAGTAAGTAAATTAATTTTTTAATATATTTTTTAATTTATTATAACTCTATCAAAACCGACGTTGATTCCAATCAATGAGACTGTTAATAGATGAATGAAAGTCGGTAATCTCTAAAGGAAAGGGGTAACCAATTTAAACGTCGATTAATCGACGTTGGCTCGAGTGCATCTCGGAGCACCTCCATATAAAGCGGCATCTATAATGAAATTTTAAGGCGTAAAATTTCAGCTTTAAACTCTAAGCTGTAAGAAATTGACCAATTACAATCGAATATGAGGACAATACTCGACTATGATTGATCAATTTTTAAGTTTTACGCCTAAAAATCTCATTGTAGACGCCACTTAATAAATCACGACGGCATTCAACTTGATCCTTCCTCCTTCCTTTTTTGATTTATAATGTATGACCGGGCGCTCCAAGGCGCCCGGTCATACATTAGAAATCAAAAAAGGAATAATTGAGGAATGAGGATGCTGTGGGAGGAGGAGGAAGAGGAGCAAGAGGACAGCCATCGGAGAGAGAGAGAGAGTTCTTGAATCCGAGAGTGTCATCCTTGTCGTCCTGGAGCCAAGCTGCAACGTGGGAAAACATATACGGGAAAGATGCGCGCGCGGAAGACGGCGGAGGCGGGATGCACACCTGCACACGTTCGTACATAGTGGCGTGGGTACTCCGTCAATGTACGTACGTAAGTAAGTACGCCGTACGGAGCCGCCTCGCATTGACGAGCCAAGCCGAGCCGGTGCTGCGTCGCGTCGCGGCGCGTCGCGGCGCGCGGGCCGAGGCGGCGATTGGCGAATCACGAATCGCCGGGATGCAAAGCAACAGGAACACAGTCGCTGACACTGCTGACAGTCGCTCGCCGGACTTGGTGTAGGTAGCATCGATAGTTGCGGTATGCGCGCCGCGGTGCACGCGTATACGCGTCCAGTGATACAATCTCGTGATCGCCCGCCGTCTATCGTCGTCACTCTTCTCCCTCACCTTCTTCTTCCCTACCTTCACCTTCCGTCGTGAGAGTGAGACTGATACTGAGATTACTGAGAGTCGATAGGACTCCTTCCCGCTTCCCGTACGTGCGCACATACCGTCACGTACCGTCGCTTCCGGATCGTAAGTAAACCATAAATTGTCTAATTACATCTCTCCCTCTGTCTTCGGTGCGTTACAGATCATTAGAGATTCGATACGATACGATACGATACGATACGATACGATACGATACGATGCGATGCGATGCGATGCGATGCGATGCGATGCGATGCGATGCGTGCGTCTACCTCTCGCCTCTCGGACTCCCGGCTCGCTTGGGGGTTGCACCTCTGTGACCCGGAGAGGGTTGGTTGCACTGTGCGATGTAGGTTACCGTTACACCCGTGTTCGCTTTTCGTCGGCCGCTAACTCTATCTCGTCATCCGAATGGAAAGGGATGAGAAAACTCAGGCAGGCTTAATGAGAGCGAGAGCGAGAGAGAGAGAGAGAGGAGAGAGAGCGAGCAGGGTGGCCGAGCAGTCGGTGCAATCGGTGCAATTGACCTCAAAGGGCCAGGTCACGTGATATATATATATATATAAAATATATACATATATATATAATATGGGTTAGCGATCAACTAATCTTTCTCTTGTCTATTTACGTCATGGGTGCAGCTAGCCTCGAGACGGAGAATGAGAGCAATATCGTCAATTACGATTGGTTAACTGGTGTGTGACTGATCCGAAGGGCTGATCGCACTAATGCGAGTTAGCACCTAATCTTATTTAATCGACCTTCCTGCTTCTGGTTATAACAAAGATAACGTTGAATTTGTATGAAGCCTGATGAATTGAAACGATAATTCATGATAAACAATCTGTGCTGCAGAAGCCTACGCTCGAGAGTAG